TGCAAACTAACATATTAAACATAATACATCGGATTTTTTTTTACCAAGCAAGAGGTGTTATTGGATAAAATGAAATTTAATATTAATAGAATAGACTGGGGGAAAATAAATATGGAACTTATTACAACAGTTCCACATTGAAATTTTATGTCACACACAACAAATAGAACAACAACTGCCAAAGCATATAAAGTGTCTGAAACATGTCCTTTAGTGGAAAGCCAGAAAAAAAAAAAGAGTAGGCAGACGGCACTACAGAACAACCATACAGTGTAATGGAAATGGGCAAGTCATGGCTCACAGGCACCACTGTCAGTTCTCCTGTGATGTGTGCTGGAATTGTCACTGTCTCTCTGGCCCCAGTGTTTTTCTTAGGTGTTGCTTGCACCTTTGTGTGCATGGGCCAGGAGTTTTGTGCACTTGGAGGTGCATGTGTTCAGGGTTTCCTTCCCTGGTCACTCCCTAATAGTTCCTTGCATTGCAAGGGTTTTCTTTCTTGGGATGTTCAGGTGATGATCCTTTAGAAGTCCACCTCCCTTGTGGTGGCCTTCGCCTTGAGGGAAGTCTGAGGTTTTATGGCATTTATCTTATTTCATGTTAGAGCATCTTGACTGATGGGGTACACTGGTTTTCCCAGCCATCTTAGGTAGGCTGGGGTTAATTTATGTAGCATTTTTTTAGAATACCAGCATAGCATCCCAGTGCCTGGGTGTCCTATATGCATTGTAATCTTCTGGCCCCGGAAATTCCCTGCAGGGTTGGTGGCCATGGATATTCCTTCTAAGCCCGCTGTCACTATGTGCGAGTTTGAAGGGTGCACATGTCAGTGCCACGTGGCAATGTTCATGTGTTGTGGCTGTGGCATGCTGCCTGTTGGGTTGGTGACACCTTCGATCCCAAGTCATGTGGGAAGTGGTCGCATTCCCCATCGTGTAACTCTACTCGTTAGTCTTCTGATAATGCTCGGACTTGTCAAGCAGTGACTGGTCTTCAAATGAGGTTTTCTGTGCTTCAGCTGTGTAAGGTGTGTGCCCGTTTAGAAGGGCAGAGATGGCCTGGTTGTTTTTTAGAGACCTAGATTTGGAAGTGTTGGTCAGTTTGATCTCTCTGCCCATGCCTCCTCTTCCTTCCACATAGTGTGTGGTTTGCTCTCCTTTTTGGAGACTGAACCACACACTGCTACCCCTGCTTCTGGCCGTGAAGCTTTTGAGAGTTTCGGGTTTGGAGCAAGAAATGGATTTAGGGGTCGTCCATTCTGATTTGAGCTTCTGGCCATTCTTACCAGCTGACTCCTCCTTTCTATGCCTCTTCCGTGGGCTCTGCCGGTTGGCGTGGATGATGGATCTGCCCCGAGATTCTTGACAGTTTTCGGGGAGTCGGAATTGGTATCCTTTCATTGTTTCTAGTGGTTTGTATGGAGTGTCCTCTAACCCCCTCCCCCTGACAGGGGGCCTGACTAGGCTGAAGGTTACACTGACTAGCTGTGAGGCCTAGGGGCCCAACAGCTGAGTGGACAGCACTTTAGATTCGTAGTCCTGAGGTTGCGGGTTCGATCCCTGGCAGAGGCGAAAACAAATGGGCTGAGTTTCTTTCACCCTGATGCTCCTGTTACCTAGCAGTAAATAGGTATCTTGGAGTTAGAAGCTGCTACAGGAAGCTTCCTGGGGGTGTATAACAAAAAGGAGGCCTGGTCGAGGACTGGGTTGCGGAGACGCTAAGCCCCGAAATCATCTCAAGATAACCCCCCTCCCTGTATGAGTTGAATATGTCGAGCCTGCCCCAAGGGTTCATTTTCGGGTGCCTTTGTGCACTCCGGGAGAATCTTTCCAGATATTTTCTTCCTCATAGGTTTCCCCTTCGGATGCTCGTGAGACACTATTTATGTACTTCCTTCATGACGTGGCTTATGCCTCCCCATTGGGGGGGTTCAAGAGCATCCCTCCCTTAAGAGGGAGTTCAGTTACCCCTATTAGGTGTGTTATGATGTTCCGGAAACATTCTGGCTAGTGGAGAATCCTTTGCTTTCTCCTAAGACCTGGGGCAGTTTTTGCTGGAACCACTCGCTTAAGGAAGTATTGAAACATTGCAAGCGTGTTTCAGGTGGCATCTCTTTTGAGCCTCTTAATAGTGCGTGTTTGCCTCGCTCTTTCTTGGGATGTTGGAGTTCTTCAGCTTCATGTGGAGGTTCCGGTGGTGTTGGTTTTGGCGAAGGACCTATGTGTCTGTCAGCAATTGTGCTGGGCTCACTGAAGGTGTGGGTAGGTTTGGGAATACAGTAGTTGTTTTGTGGGTTTTTGTTCTCATCGGTGGCTCTTCCAAATGTGTATGCTCCTATTTTGTGGGATGTGGTGGACATGTACTTCTCTGTGCAGTTTGTATGTTGGCAGGCTGTGCTGGCTCTTTCTTAGGATTTGACTTAGTCCCTTGTCCTTCTTTCCCCCACTCCTTTTTCTCTGCAGGATGCAGTGACTCCGTTTTTGTCTCACCTACATATTGTCAGCCTATTCAGGATGTCGTTTGTATTAGGCAGGTTTGTTGTCGTTCTTTGAAAGAGTCTGGGTGGGCGGGATCTGCGCCTGGTGAGCCATTGGTGGAGTCTTGCTGGGTCGCAAGTGTTTCCTGTGGCTACTTCGTCTACGTAGTACTCGCAAAACAGTATCTAAGTATATAATTACCTAAGTGCTTAATGTGCCAGCCCTTTCATGGTTGGGGCAGCTAGCCTGGTATGCCGATGCTTGGTCCCCCCTGATTTGTGGGTCTTTGGTGGAGTTGGTCAGTCCTGTCTTCTTTCGGGAGTTCAATTCTGTCTGGAGAGGCTTCACCTCCATATCTCCGTGGGGTTATCTCTGGTTGGATGGCTTCTGGCATGGTCGAGACGACCACAGCTCTGGTTGGATTTTCACCTATTTCAGTTCCAAAGCGGGCTTCTCTGGATTTCTGGTCAATCTTAATCTTTCATGATTGAAGTGGTTTATTTCTTGCCCCTCTTTCCAGATGACAACTCTGTCCCAGGTGCCTCTTGCTCTCGAGCCAGGCACTTAGAGGACATGTTGTTGGACCTCTTGGATGCTTATTGGCACATTCCTATACTGTACTTGCAAGGTTGAGGGATTGGCTAGGGTTAGTAGTGGGGCCTGAAGTTTACCTCTTCTGGGTTCTCCTGTTTAGCCTGAATCTGGCTCCTTGTGTTTTCACGAGCTCAGGTGACGTGGCTTGACCTACCTCTGTGATTGGCGCATGTCTGGTAGCCAGGGATCTGGTTCTTTCACAGCTTGTCTAGTTCAGGTTCCTGGTGAATTGGCAGAAGTCGCAGTTGGTTGATGGGAAAGGTGATTCTTCTGGCTGGGCGAGCTTTTGTTTCTGGTGCTGCTTGCTCAGTCGTTTATCTGCAGCTCTTAAAGGGTCAATCTGGTGACATAGTTCGCTGGTTTGAATTTCTCCTTCATTATTCACGTCTGGAGTTTCTGAGATGGGTATAAATGACACCACAAGGATGGCATTTAGGTGGGTGAATTGGGTGTCCCACCTGCCGGTTTCATAGATGTGGCAGTATGAGTTTCTTGGCAGTCGTTTTGTCACTTTGTCTTTTAGACATATAATACTTTGTCTGTTTCCGAGCAGGTGGTGGTTTTTTGATTGGCATCTCGTGTGAAATACTGTTGCTTTGTATCGTGTGGCTTGCATTCAGGTTTGATACTTTGCAGGCTCCATTTTGCATGTTGCCTTTTGGCATTATTTATATTATATAAATATATATTTCACCTCTGGGTTGGTTATGTGGAGCTGGAGTCATCCTGAGCTCTGGACTGGGTGCTCTGTTTTGCACCCTGTTTACTGTTTCCCTTTTTATGTGGGATAGTTTTTGCAAGGCACTTCCCCCCTCCCCCCCAGTTGCTGAGCTTCATGATGTCCTTTGGTGCTGGGGTTTTGTTCCTTCACTCCTGGGAATTGGTTTTTTTCTTCAGCTGGCTCCTTCTTTTCTGGGTAAGAATGAGGTGGCTGTTTTCTGGAGGGATCTGTTAGTTGGCTCAGCTGGGGACTGCATAATGCTTTGTCTATTGGAGGGTGTCTGTTGCTACATTCTCTGTTTCTGCATTGGTGGATGCCTTGTGGGTTGATCCTGTTTTCATTGTCCCCTGTTACAAGGATGGTCCATTGTGTCATTCTCATGTCTAGCCAGCCTGCGGTGTACTCTCTTGAGCATGACAGCCGAATATATTGCCTCTTTTGGCCGTTTTTGTTAATGTGTGGTGTGTTGATAATCAGGTAAGGGGATTTTGGAGGTCGAACAAGGTGTTTGCAGACCAGTATTTAATAAATATCCCGGGCATCAGCGCCCTTGGGTTGGCGCTCTCTCTCTTTGAAATAATATCTGCGGTGGTCCCTCATGTCTGTTAAGTAGGCATTTGTTTCTTCTCCATGGGTAGTTAGTTTTAGGGAGCCAAAAGGGTGTTGGGAAAAAAGCCTTGAATGTAAAGAAACTTCAAATTTTGGGTGAGGTTGGGTATGACTCTGTGATACCCTCCCTCCTGCAGGGAGTCGGGTTCTTCCATCATTCGTTGAACTGGGCTAGACATCCCCCTTTCCTTCTCAAACTATGGAAAGGGTTGGGGGGGCTGGTTTTAAAATATTTGTGATGATTCTCACAAGGCCATACAACCTTGGGGGAGTTGCATGGGTTTTTTCATGTCTTCATTTCTCGGAGGCAGGCACCTGTGATTTGTTATGACTGGTAGACTTTCTGGGTGGCTTCCTCAGTGGTGGCATAAATGATGTAATATATAAATAGCATGGCTTCCTGTGCCACTGTGAGGGGACCAAGTTCTGTATATAGGTTCCTGAACTCTGCGTCTGATTGCACCTACATCAAAGATGGTAGCTTCAGTGGTGCAACTTGTGCTCACCCAGAAATTGCCGAATCATGACACTAAATGTTTGTTTTGTATGTTAGTCATAGTTTGTGAATACAGGAATATGCTAATGACAGTTTCTCTCCACAGAGATGTCTTCAGTACTTGGGTGGCAAGCAACCATCATCAGCCCATCAACCCAACTTACCCAGCGCCAGTTAAATAAAACCCTTGTTTATCACAGAAATAACTTGGGGACCAGCTAGGCAGCAGTCCAACCAGTCGGTCAACTAGTAAATCAGTCAGCTGTGTTAGTTGATCTGAAGAAGAAAGGTACCTGGTGCAGTAATAAGTGCACAGAAGTTAGATTTGTTGTCAAGGATAGGCAAATGTGTGATGCGGCTACTTGACCTGGCACATAGATACTAAAAATAAGTAAACCATCTGCAGATAGGGGGACTGATATTGTGGTACCTCATCATTCCCTAGATGTTGACAAACTGGGTGCTTGTATGAAAGTCACGATTTTCTATACTGTTGTCAATTCTGGAACTTCAAGGAAGCATCTTTCTGTCTGTTCAATCTTTTCTTGCTCTTTGTAGTATCCCAAATGTATTATTCACACCTGTGTGAGTCTATTAATCTTCTTCTACCCTAGATGAGAGTTCCAGAACAATCGAGTGCTGTGAAAGTGAGCATTGCATGTACTGTAATTTTTCATTTTGCTTATGAACAAGGCTGTGTAAAACAAAAAGTGATCCGATCAGCAATTGTAGAACTAACAATGAATTCGTTTTCCTATTAACAGTGCAGTATAGGAAAAATGAGTCATGGTGAAACATGTAGTGACATGAGTTCTTAATTGCTGATTACTTCACTAACAGGAATGCCAAACTTGACCAAACGGAAGGAGGGGACCAAAATATTACATTAATTGTTATATTATTTATTCTTTGTACACAGAACAAATTATTGGAAACAAAGTATTAACTTTACATGAGTGGAATATCTGTAACTGATGTCATGCCCTTTTTCACAGCATTTGGAACAATATTTTGATCATAAGATTTAAGCAACTCCAGCAGTAAATCATGTCTTAGGGAGCTGGGTTTGTAAATATTTGTGTTGATTTTTCTTGATACGGAGAGAGAATTATGATTATTATAGATATAGTAACATTTACAATATAATTTGTAAATATTTCAACAGTATGTACAAGTGATTGATGATTTTTGTTTTCTCTCCTCGATGTGATTGAATTATGAAGAGTTGGTGATTATGTACGGTATGATTGTATGTACATGTATCATAGTAGATTTGTCCAGAGGCTTATTATTTGATTAGCAAGGAGAACATCGTTAGAATTGACCTGTTTGTCAAACTTGTATCAATTCCTTCCATAGCAAACATAGAAGGTGGAGAAAGATGTGAAGCCTTCTGTGCTTGCCATCCCTGCATGCATAGCAATATCATTTGGCATTTCCCAGGTTTTACTTCTTAACTATCAAGAGGCAGTCGGGCGAGTTTGTGTCAGACGGACACTTTGCTCAATCCTCAATGTACATAAGACAAATTTTTGGAGGACTGATTGCTGCAGCCTCTTGGGAGATGACATACTCTAATTTCATTTTTAAGCTCTGGAATGCAGCCAAGAGGAGATATATGATTTGCTTGTATTTTCAAACTTTATTTTCTTCATTAATATTTTCTATTGGGTGAAGCTTGATGCAAAGCACCGCATGAAGAGCGAAGTCTTGTTTTGGTGTGAATAACACTAAAATTCAGGGAAATGGTATGTAGATGTAAAGTAATGATGGCCACTTGTAAACTACCTGCCTTCACATCAGGTTTTACCCATGCTTGTAGCTCTTAGAGAATCCTTCGGTCCTAGAATAAAATAAAGTCAGTGTTTGCCCTTCTTATATAGCTATGATAAATATGTTGACGAAATACAGTGCTTCACAAAACAGGCAGAGGCTCCACCGCAGGTAACATTGGTTGTGTTCCATTTGCAGTTACTGTAATTCCATATAATACACAAACAATGGTTTTGTATCGTAGAAATGAACAAATTGTTTTCTGGTGTTGAACAATGTTAAGGTGAACAATTGGAATCAATTATGATTTCACATCACGTAAATAGTAATAGAGAACAAGTGAATAACAAGGTTATATTAAAACATAAGTCGACAAACAAACATACACCTTCTATTGTGGTAGCAATGGTGTTGCCCATTCCTAGGTGATTTCATGTATTACTTAATACATTGTTAATGGTTCCTTAATCTGGTATTTTAATTTGTCAAAAAAAAACAAAAATAAGCAAATGCTTATGGTATGGATTTGCCGCAAGGCATACTTTTGAGGATGTTGTGTTAATGTGTATGATGCCTGTGTGTGTTCTCTTTCACTTCTGTATTCACAATATAATAAATATTATACACATATTCGGGTGTTATTTAACCTTATTTCAATACTTTGTGTTAGACTAAATATATATATTATATAGTAGAAAATATTTGTGAGCTGTCAGGGCACCTGACAGCTGGGTGGACAGTGCTTCGGATTCATAGTCCTGAGGTTCCGTGTTTGATCCTCGGTGGAGGCGGAGATAAATGGGCAAAATGTTTATTTCACCCTGATGCCCCTGTTACCTAGCAGTAAATAGATACCTGGGAGTTAGACAGCTGCTACAGGTTGCTTCCTGGGGGTGTGTAACAAAAAGGAGGCCTGGTCGAGGACTGGGCCGCGGGGACGATAAGCCACAAAATCATCTTAAGATAACCTCAAGAAGAAATATAGAAGTCTTTATATATATATTATGCAAATGTATATATAGACATAGTAAAAATCTGTTATACTGTATATATGAATAACCTATATAAAGAATCTTATATATATTTGAATCTATATTTTAAGATTCTTATGCATAATCCAATCTATGTAGGGACCCATAGCCTTGGAGAAGAAAATAAAGAGTACTCGGCGAAGACCTTGTGGATCCTCACTGAACACTTTGATATTTTCTTCTCCTACCACCCCTATTTTTTTAATATGTGTGTATATATATATCTAACTTTATTTGAAAATTTCATTACACAAAAAGGGAATACAACATTGGTTACATGCAAGGTATAAGGCTACTTGTCACAAGTTGTAGAGCTCCTCCAGCTCCTCAGATGGCGGGCAGGAACCATGGATGCATGGAGCACTTCCTCTCTGGATCGCCACACTAAGGCACTGAAAGAGAAAACTGGCAGCTCTAGGATCTCTAGTTGTTTCAATTAGCTTGGACACCAACTCCTTCAAAAAACTAGCAGCACTTTTACCCCAGGCACCAAGTGTGTCTGAGGCAATGGGAACAAAATTGTAGTGGTGCTCAAGGTCTCTGTATTTATGTGAATTGGCTGCTTCCCTGTGATTGGCAGCAGCACCTGCCTGTGTAGCACTGAAGTCAACATAGGTGTTGGCTAAAGTTGAAATGCAAGTGTAGTCCCACACCAACTGTCTACCATTCTTCTAAGGGTTCAAAGTGATCCCGTCTGGGCGACCGACGGGCTCATCAGAGTTGCAGGGCATTAGGTAACAGGGCTCTCTCTCTGCTGGACAACCAGCTGTGGTAAGGCTCCTCTTAATAATGTTGTTAACCTCGCCGTGTCTCGTATACCATCCTTATGTCCTTTGGCAGAGAAGGCCATGCCACTCGTACCTGTCGGCCACTGCCTCGCCGCAAATACACCTGTATTCGGTGTGGATTGGGGCAGTGAGGCAATGAGCCACAGCAATTCGGAGGGCCTGCGGTGTGAGACGGGTGCCGGTTGCTGACATTGGGTTACTAAAATAAAAATAAATATAAATATATATATATATATATATATATATATATATATATATATATATATATATATATATATATATATATATATATATATATATATATATATATATGACCGAAAAAGTAAGATTAATAATTCTAACATGAATTTTCTCAATCTTTCGTACATTTCTTTTCACTGCTGGTGGTAATTCAAAAATCAATTCTCCAAAATTCATTTTTATTTCTAGTCTGACGCGACACTTGAGCGCGTTTTGTAAAACTTATTACATTTTCAAAGACTTTAGTTTACACATACACAACTGAATAGTACTTACACATCTCCGATTTGTTTATATCTACATTTGAGTGAGGTGGATGGGGTGAGGTGGTATTAATAGGGTATTAAATTCATCAACACTAGACAGAACACGAAACAATGGGTATTGAATGGAAGTGATTGTAGAAAGCCTATTGGTCCATATTTCTTGATGCTTCTATATTGGAGCGGAGTCTTGAGGTGGGTAGAATATAGTTGTGCATTAATTGGCTGTTGATTGCTGGTGTTGACTTCTTAATGTGTAGTGCCTCGCAAACGTCAAGCCGTCTGCTATCGCTGTATCTATCGATGATTTCTGTGTTGTTTACTAGGATTTCTCTGGCGATGGTTTGGTTGTGGGAAGAGATTATATGTTCTTTAATGGAGCCCTGTTGCTTATGCATCGTTAAACGCCTAGAAAGAGATGTTGTTGTCTTGCCTATATACTGGGTTCTTTGGAGCTTACAGTCCCCAAGAGGGCATTTGAAGGCATAGACGACGTTGGTCTCTTTTAAAGCATTTTGCTTTGTGTCTGGAGAGTTTCTCATGAGTAGGCTGGCCGTTTTTCTGGTTTTATAGTAAATCGTCAGTTGTATCCTCTGATTTTTGTCTGTAGGGATAACGTTTCTATTAACAATATCTTTCAGGACCCTTTCCTCCGTTTTATGAGCTGTGGAAAAGAATTTCCTGTAAAATAGTCTAATAGGGGGTATAGGTGTTGTGTTAGTTGTCTCTTCAGAGGTTGCATGGCGTTTCACTTTCCTTCCTATGATGTCTTTGACGAAACCATTGGAGAAGCCGTTGTTGACTAGGACCTGCCTTACCCTACAGAGTTCTTCGTCGACTTGCTTCCATTCTGAGCTGTGGCTGAGAGCACGGTCGACATATGCGTTAACAACACTCTTCTTGTACCTGTCTGGGCAGTCGCTGTTGGCATTTAGGCACATTCCTATGTTCGTTTCCTTAGTGTAGACTGCAGTGTGGAAACCTCCGCTCTTTTCCATGACTGTTACATCTAGAAAGGGCAGCTTCCCATCCTTTTCCATCTCGTAAGTGAAACACTGCACGGAACTCTGCTCAAATGCCTCCTTCAGCTCCTGCAGATGTCTGACATCAGGTACCTGTGTAAAAATGTCGTCAACATACCTGCAGTATATGGCCGGTTTCAAGTTCATGTCGACAGACTTTTTGCTCGATGGTACCCATGTAGAAGTTTGCAAACAGGACACCTAGGGGAGAACCCATGGCGACCCCATCTACTTGCTTATACATGTGCCCATCCGGGCTCAAGAAGGGTGCCTCTTTAGTACAAGCTTGGAGTAGTTTAGCTTGTAAACAGTCATGGAAAAGAGCGGAGGTTTCCACACTGCAGTCTACACTAAGGAAACGAACATAGGAATGTGCCTAAATGCCAACAGCGACTGCCCAGACAGGTACAAGAAGAGTGTTGTTAACGCATATGTCGACCGTGCTCTCAGCCACAGCTCAGACTGGAAGCAAGTCGACAAAGAACTCTGTAGGGTAAGGCAGGTCCTAGTCAACAACGGCTTCTCCAATGGTTTCGTCGAAGACATCATAAGAAGGAAAGTGAAACGCCATGCAACCTCTGAAGAGACAATTAACACAACACCTATACCCCCTATTAGACTATTTTACAGGAACTTCTTTTCCACAGCTCATAAACGGAGGAAAGGGTCCTGAAAGATATTGTTAATAGAAACGTTATCCCTACAGACAAAATCAGAGGATACAACTGACGATTTACTATAAAACCAGAAAAACGGCCAGCCTACTCATGAGAAACTCTCCAGACACAAAGCAGAACGCTTTAAAAGAGACCAACGTCGTCTATGCCTTCAAATGCCCTCTTGGGGACTGTAAGCTCCAAAAAAAACCAGTATATAGGCAAGACAACAACATCTCTTTCTAGGCGTTTAACGATGCATAAGCAACAGGGCTCCATTAAGGAACTATAATCTCTTCCCACAACCAAACCATCGCCAGAGAAATCCTAGTAAAAACAAAGAAATCATCGATAGATACAGCGATAGCAGGCGGCTTGACGTTTGCGAGGCACTACACATTAAAAAGTCAACACCAGCAATCAACAGCCAATTAATGCACAACTATATTCTACCCACCTCAAGACTCCGCTCCAATATAGAAGCATCAAGAAATGTGGACCAATAGGCTTTCTACAATCACTTCCATTCAATACCCATTGTTTCGTGTTCTGTCTTGTGTTGATGAAATTAATACCCTATTAATGCCACCTCACCCCATCCACCTCACTCAAATGTAGATATAAACAAATCGGAGATGTGTAAGTTCTGTTCAGTTGTGTATGTGTAAACTAAAGTCTTTGAAAATGTAATAAGTTTTACGAAACGCGCTCAAGTGTCGCTTCAGACTAGAAATAAAAATGAATTTTGGAGAATTGATTTTTGAATACAATACAATACAATACAATACAATTTTATTTAGGTAAGGTACATACATACAATAAATATTTACAAGGATTGTTTGACTTATAGGTAGAGCTAGTACATACAATGCCTAAAGCCACTATTACGCAAAGCGTTTCGGGCATGATAAACTTAAATGACAAGCTTAATACTAATTGAGCATAATGAGTAGAATGAAAACAAGAAATGAAAACATAGATGAAAAAGCAGCACAAATACAATTATGTCGACAAACAGCGCTCTTTAAAGAAAAAAACAGACATTGGTTGACAATAGAAGGGTAAGGTAGGTTACAGGGAATTTATTAGGTATAGCTTCGCTTTTAACTTAAACTGGTTGAGAGAGGTACAGTCTTTAACATGGTTGGGAAGGTCATTCCACATTCTGGGCCCCTTGATTTGTAGAGCATTTCTAGTTTGATTAAGTCGTACTCTAGGAATATCAAAACTGTATTTATTTCTGGTGTGATGCTCATGGGTTCTGATACAACCTTCTATGAAGCTTTTGAGATCAGGATTGGCATTATAGTTTAGCGTTTTATATATGTATAATACACATGAGAGAATGTGCAGTGACTTAATGTCTAACATATTCAGAGATTTAAGTAGGGGTACCGAGTGATGTCTGGGGCCAGAATTGGATATTGTCCTAATAGCAGCTTTGTGTTGAGTAATTAGAGGACGTAAGTGATTTTGGGTAGTAGAGCCCCAAGCACAAATACCATAGTTGAGATATGGATAGATAAGGGAGTAATAGAGAGTCACCAGGGCAGGGCGTGGTACATAATATCTGATCTTAGAAAGAATGCCCACAGTTTTTGAAACTTTTTTTGTTATGTTTAGAATGTGT